TGCTAATTTCAAAATATTTGCATTTAGTCTAAAGAAGTTTTTTTGGAATGTGACCTGCAAAATATATCTTTACTCGGATTGTCCCTGGATGTGTAACAGTAGCCTTTGTGTTACTCTAGACGTCTAGACCGTATTCTATCCGGGTATTAAATTTCATTAAAATTTGTCGAGCCGTTTTAGCGTGAAAGAGTAACAAACATATATACATATAAACTTTTATATTTATAATACTAGCCCGATAATAGCTAGGTGTCGTCATGTTAAGTTGTGTAACATTTTGTTTGTCTGCGTCGCTTAAGAAGGCAATGTTAATATAAAATATGAACTTTATCCCATGAACCATCATATCTCCACCATTAACGTGACATACGCGAAATAAATTGTTCTACAATGGCGCGCACCTCAAAGCCATGAAATAAATAATTTAATCGCTAACATAATTTAAATATAACTGTTTAACATATAACCTACTTTAGATCTATAATCATAATACTATTAAGAAGGGGAGCCCAAAAGGGGATTTTGGGATTTACTCAAGCGCGGCAGATTAACATACGGGGCGATACCATGCACTCCATCATATTTAACTTCTCTATAGAGTAGCCGATTAGAATATTTAAAAAATATTTTGATAAGTTATAAATACTTGAAACCGTGAGATTAAGGTGTGGTGGACTAATTACATGCTGAGAGTGTGTAATCAAAAAATCTATCGATTTCCCCAAATCGAAAAAACAAAAATCGTCCATAAAGTTTATGGCTCTAAAGAATCAGAGTATAATCATGTCAGATATGAAGAATACTGCAAGAGAATAATTTTAGTATTTCTTACAGAACGTATAACAAGCTTTAGATTAGCGCAATTATATAAAAAAAAATTCATAAGGTAAGTGCATATCAGACTCGCGCGCCTAGTTCCTTGCCAACACAATATGTATGTACATAATATTTGTGCAGCATATTTATCAATAAATTATTATTTTTAACTAAATTTTTTGATACAAATCACTTTAACAGTAATTATTCCTTCCTTTATGTGTTTTATTTGTCTATAGGCGCATAGGCCCCATTACACAGTATTGGCCATACTTTATGTTCATAACAAAAAAAAACAATACATTCGATTCACAATTGGTGAAGGAAACACGTAACACCTACCTGCCTGCTTTTTAAAGTAAGACAAACAGGACCTGATATTAAATAAAAGTTGAAAGCCATATGGAAAACCCTTCACATCTTGAGCATCGACAAACAGCGTAGGTGTAGGATCATCATTGTCCTTGGGATATGGAACACTAAGGTTAAGTTAAAACACTAAAGTTTTGAAATAAAACTATCCAGTATCTATACACTCATCTGCCTGTATAATTAATGCTTGTATGTCTGTTCTATTTAGTAGTATTTGATCTGCTTTAATTATATGTTTAAGAGAATTGAATTTATATGTGTAACTTTAGTGCCTAATTGATATAGAATTTAGCTAAATTTTCAGACTAATATATAAAAGATTATTAAAAATTCTCCAGCCATTTTCGAATAATGTGCGACAGACAGAAATGATTTTCGAATACTTCTAAAACTTTAATTAGGACTCGAATGCGCCTGACAACATTAAAAAATAACATCATATACGCAGCTTCTAATCCATTATAATTTTACTATTGATAAGTTTACAATAGATTCTACTGTTATCGAGTAGTTACTACTTTATATCCTTTATAGCTTTTAAATTGTGTTAGGCAGAAAATATGGAACGTGTTTCTTGATAGATTCAACCTTCACATTCACTTGTCAGAGCAACCAAAAGGGCTCGAAATTGAAGGGTTTATCGGTAACCATCATACAACTCAAAAACCTTCTATTGCTAGATTTATATATTATATTAGTATACTGGGAAAATATATATTTTTTGAAGGATATTATTGTACTCATACTCATACACCTTGGAAAGATGAGCCCACAGACTTACAACGTTGGAAATAATCGGGCTGAGTTCCTTTAAGCAGTTTTACTCGGGACTGACATTTTTTTCATAATTACTAACAAAAAATGTATTCTAAAACATTAATAGGAATTGAACATAAGATAGAAATTGCAAGTTCCACTATCTAGTTCCTAATCAAATTAATTGATTTATATTATACTAGCATTGCCCGCGGCTCTGCCCGCGTTCAGACACCAAAAAACCAAATTCTTAGGTTTTACATATTAGTATACTCTTACATTGCAGTTTTTGTACTTTTCCTCAATATGACATATTTTCCTGCGGTAAAAAGTTTCCTATAAGTTGACCCGGATAACCAGCTATCACCATACCAAATTTCATCAAAATCTCTTCAGTGGTTTTTCTGTGATGCGGTAACAGACAGACAGACAAAAATTCTAAAAGTTCTAGATTCTGCCTCTGTTTCGCTAATAATGTTTATTTCAACAAGATTTTCAAAAAAAATATTTACAGATTCGGCTTAGTTACAATTGTATTACGAGTATATAACAACTGCCTCGGTAAAAACTGCCTCGGTGGTGTAGTGGCTAGCATGTACGGTTGCACACCCGGAGGTCCTGGGTTCGAGTCCCGGGTCGGGCCAAGTTTAGTTATTGAGTCTTCCTGTATAGTAAGTCTCAGTAACAGCCCGGAGTTGGGAAGTTGGCGGTGTTTCACCCCCGTGCCTCGGAGAGCACGTAAAGCCGTCGGTCCTGCGCCTTAACTCTCACCGGTCGTGTCGAGTGGTCGTCCCACCGGAGTATGAGAGTGATAGGAATAGAGAGTGCACTTGTGTCTGCGCGTACACTTGAGCACTATAATATCTCCTGCGCAGTTGGCTAATCTCATTGAGATTGGCCGCCGTGGCCGGAATCGGCTAGGAGAACATCATCATCATCACGAGTATATGTATAGGTTAGGTTAGTTATATTATATATATCAAACCTCTGAAACTCGATACACCATTGTCGCTATTCTCTATAATTAGTACAAGTTATGATCAGAGTTGAAATTGTTAGTTTCATTACGTGTGGTAGTTAATTGAAGAATCTAAAAATAAACTGATTTAAATGTTTAAGGACTGTTTGCTACTTCTTTTGCACTTCGTATCACGGTCATGTATAAATAATTGCGCATGGCCGATCATTTATCTTTGACAAACAATTAAGATTATCAGATATCTTCTACCAACAGAGTGTAAATTCAAGGCTACTTGCTAATTAGACCACAGTTTTATTGCTACATCCTGCACGAGTAGTTACTGAGTTAAAATAATTTCCAAAAACACTAAAAATATCTAAAAATTAAAAATGTCAAACTCGAATCAAATAAATTAGTGATATTTAAAATGGATCAAGAGGAAATAATTGAAAGAGGCAAAAGGGTTGTGGTACGATTGTTGAAAACTTTTTACCGTTAATTAATGGATAAAATCTTTTAAATATTTTTAACGTTTAGTATCTATAGATTTCTCAGAGATGAGATGTTTTCCCGCATTAAAAAGTATCCTATATAATCCCGCATAAGCAGCTATCATCATACCAAATTTCATCAAAATCGGTCCTGTGGTTTTCTCGTGATGCGTTCCCAGACAGACAGACAAAAATTCTAAAAACTATAGATACAATAACTTCAATAAGATTTTCCAAAAAATATTTAATGCACGGATTCAACTCAGTTACAATTTTATTATATGTATAGATATAGAATAAGTTACCATTCATATGACTTTTCCTCAATGAAAGGTAAAAAATACTAACACAATAAACATTTTTGGCAATGGCAATACACCACTTACAGTTACAGTAACACCTATACATAACCTTTGAGATGTCAAAAACCATAATATCTCCGTAACCATGTTTGCATCGGAGTAAAAATAACTATTAGTTAGAATCAACTTTTAGAGTTTGTATGAAATTATTTACTGCTATAATATTTAAGATTTATATAACTGTTTGGCCCATAGGTACTTTTTGCAAAATTTTGTTTTATATTTCATTAAAGAAATATTTCTTTTGTTTCTACAAGTCTTTTTTTATATGTATCTAGAAAAATTCGCTAAATAATCACACTGAAATTCCTTCTCTGCTTTTCTAAATGCTTTTCTAATACTGTTTATGAATCAGTTTTAATGTGACCGTAATGTTAAATTACCACCAATAAATTTTAAGTGTCTCCTACATTCTACAAAGTACATAATGCTGTTGAACTAAAATATATAGACATGAAATATCTATACTAATATTATAAAGAGGTAAAGTTTGTGATCTTGTGAGTTTGTGACGTTGTAGAGGGTAATCTCTGGATCTACTGAACCGATTTTCAAAATTCTTTTACCAATAGAAAGCCACGTTCTTTCTGAGTGTCATAGGCTATATATTAACCCGAAGAATAAAAAGGCTTTTTCGTGGTAGTCGGATTTGCAAAGTAAGTCGGAGAAAAAACGGTCGAACGAAAACGTTTCTTACGAACGCTGCCTTAACGATGAGAGATATATGATTATGTTCTAGAGAAAAGTCGTAGAGCTTAATAATGCCTACAAAAAAGTCAGCGACAGCATATGTCTAACTTTTAAATTTAAGTCACAAAAAGTAGTTTGTTATATTAAAAAAAAATATTTAAATCGGTAGGTCATGTTTATTGGTCATATTATCAACAATTATAAATTATTCTTATCAAAATAAGTAAATTTATCGTCTAAAATGTTTAAAACAAAAGACTTTTCCCTTTTACTGCATATAATTTGGACAAATGGTTAAAGAGATAATACAACATATTCGTAGGTATGGACGAACCCGAGCGAGCTGTTTTTCTGTTTGTACGGGCTAATCTCCAAATCCGTTGAGCGAGTGAAAGAGTTTTTATTCCGGAAATCATCTCTTAAGGGGGTGGGAATAGGGATGAAAGTTTGTATGGGGAAGCAAGCTAGGGACGAACTCGAGCGAACCGAGGGTGAGTCGCTAGTTAAATATTAATTTTCAGTATAAATTAATATGATACCCTTTATTTTCAGATGTATGGCCGCTATCAACGCGATCTAAGCGAAGCGGCAAGAGAAGAAGCGAGAAGACTCAGAAGATTGCGGAAACGACGGCGGAAAGATGACAAGCTCCGCCAGAAAGAACTGGAGTCGACGGGAAAGCACAGGCCTAGGGGGAAATTCTTTAAAGTATTCGGTGAGATTTTTATTTCTATTGTGCTAATATATATTTTGTTAAAACATGTGTTTTTATACAACAATGAAATTTATGACAATTGAGAAGTCAATTTATATGTAGCCTTATTTTAATATGACTTTATTATTGTTACGACAGAAATTATATAAGAGAAAATTGAAATTTGCCATGTCCAAAAAGAGTGTCTCGATATCAAATCATTTAGGGTATATCTACACAGTTAAACTGCGTAAGTTAGTCTTAAGGAACACTTGAAATAAATAATTGTAAAGTTGATTGCCATACAATATACATGACAATATATAAAATGTAAAATAACTGTACAGGCTAGATCTATGGTACAGGCAAAATTGCTCAGGCATCTTATACATCATATCTTATAAATAATGTATATCCTTTTCGTCTACATCTTACACTATGTAAAGCTAATTATAACGCCTAGCGTAGTGATCTGAATATCCGTACCGACGGCAGTGTTGTAACTGCCGCGGGTTAAGTCCCTCTCGAGACAAATATTATTATTTATTTTATTATATATTCGCTTGCTTCCCAATACAAACTTTCATCCCCATTTTCACCTCCTTAAGGGATGATTTTCGGGATAAAAAGTATCCTATGTCCTTTCCCGGGTCTCAAACTATCTTCTTACCAAATTTCATCTAAATCGGTTCAGTAGATCCAGAGATTACCCCCCACAACGTCACAAACTCACAATTCATAAACTTTACCTCTTTATAATATTAGTATAGATATATGATCATATTATTTATGGCTATTTCAATGTAGGTCTATATATTATTATACTTCGTATCTCTCCTAAAGATTATTATGTTTACAAGCAGCAGTACGCCGGATTTATGCTGTCCTAATCATATATATATATATATATATATATATATATATATATATATATATATATATATATTTATTGTATGATTCACTACATGTACAGAATTGATGTATTTTAATCCTTAGTTGCCCCACTAAGAAGCCAACGAGAAGTGTAAGCGTTTCAAATAAGATCACGATTGATAATTTTTGAAAGGATATAGATATTTATATTATCATCCTGTATGTTATATATCACACTAATAATCATAAACGCGAAAGTTTGTGAGTGTTTGTTAGTTCTTCACGCTGTAACGGCTTAACAGATTTTACTAAAGTTTACAATGAAGATAGCTTATATCCTGAGTTATCACCTATTACATATATGCTAGTTTGATTTAGAGTACAGAGCGATTGAAACCGCGGGCATTCACTAGTAGTGTATATATCCTATAAGTAAGAGCCCTAACAGTAAACGATCAATGATATGAAGTGTGTTAGGGTACGTCTGGAGGCACACGTTCGCGCGGCTCGGCGAGGACTGGATTTTCCTCGCGCTACTCGGCATTATCATGGCGGTACTGAATTTTGCTATGGATAAAGGAATCGCTATTTGCAATAATGGTAAGACATTTATTTTTTAATTTACTTTTGGTGAAATATCTCATATTATTAGATTTTTCCAATTTTTCACTACTATTTTACAGTAGGCGTATAGTCTTTTTTTATTTCTTTCTTTTATTTTTACCTTTCATCTTGACGAAGTGATCGCTCACTATGTTATTTATTATGTACTCGTAAATTGGTTTCGCATATAAAAAATAGTAAAAATGTATAATCAATTTTTTTTGTATTAAAAATAATGATGATTTAAGATTTGCAGTTGGATCATGCCCAGTAATTAAAAAGGCTATATTATTATAGCGATTATAGTATTAATTCAATTTCATTAATGACATATATTTTTTTCTTTTTACGCTAACTTAGGATTTATCAAGTAAGTTCTTCTGCCAATATTAGTATCTAGTGATTCAACTATCGAGCTTACTTTTTTTTATTTGATATATAAAAAATAATTAAGGCTAAGGCTGAATATCATTGAAATTATGTCATATAATCTACAGAAAAAAAAACGAATAAGTGAGATGAATCAAAACCAACTATAAAGTTACTAGAAATGAATTGATATCTTCTTCCAGCTCGTATGTGGATGTACAAAGACTTGGCGACGTCGACGTTCAGCCAGTACGTGGCGTGGGTGTCGCTGCCGGTGTGCCTCATACTGTTTGCCGCCGGCTTCGTCCATATTGTAGCTGCTCAGAGTATAGGTAAATGTATAATGTTCTCCTGACCAATTTTGGCCACGGTGGCCAATCTCACTGAGACTAGAACAGGAGATAAGAGAGAGCTTTCATAGTTGATCTTATTGTCATATATTATCATATATTTACGTGAATCACGTGGATTCCAATTAATTGAGGTCCATTCATAGTTACAAAAATGAAAAAAAATAAAAAATTTTTGTATACTGAAAATAGTACTAGGCCCCAAAGTGAACCCTGCGGTAGGTATGTTATAATTTCCGTTTTATACTAAATAAAAATCAATTCTTATTATATTATTACCTTAATAACTATAGTTTTTTTATGTTATGAACTAAAAAAATATAATATATATATTGAAAATGGAATTATAATATTTAAATTTTTGTATGAAATGTGTGAATCAAATGGTTTTTATTTTAGGTTCTGGTATACCGGAGATGAAGACAATACTTCGTGGTGTGCATTTGAAAGAATATCTAACATTTAGAGCTATGATATCTAAAGTCATCGGTCTCACTGCGACACTCGGGTCTGGTCTGCCGCTGGGTAAAGAGGTATAATACAGACGTTACTTATTATTATTTATTTAGTTTATATTATTTATTTATAATATGTATGTATTTGAAGTTATATACGTGTAGTGTATCAACTATCTGGTATCCATATTACCATAACACAAGCCTCGTAGCTTACCATGGAACTAAATTGTACTGTGTGTTAATGTCCCAACATATTTATTTTTAAAGTTAATTTTTTAATTTACTAACAACTGTATCTATTATTATTCTTCAAAGGTGCGTAATTAATGTTATATTACGTTGTATAATAATTTTTATTCACGAATTCAAATCCCGAGTCTAGAGCTCTATTACTCTAATGTGTTTACTATTTTCACCATTATCACCACTTGTCTTACGGTGAAAGAAAATATCGTGAGGAAACCTTCATGTCAAAGAGAAACTAACAAGTTATCGAAAGACATGCTGGATAAGTTCGTCAAACCGCATTTGGCCATTGTGGTAGTCTATAACTTGATCCCTCGCATTGAAGGTCTCACTTCAATACGCAGGGTAATTTAGGCCTCATGACTCGTTAACGGCCCCGTTAACGTGTTTAACAGTGGGACATCAAAAAATGGCTGAATAGATTACATAAATAAGCATTTGAAAAGATTTGTTGTTTTTTTTTTGCTCTCAAAAATAGTCACAATTATCTAAATAAGATTTACTATATCTACAGCGATTTTTTTTAAATCTCTTGACTCTGACGATCGTATTAATTAGCCCAGCAGTCGGGCGTTAGAAAAGAGTTCAATATATTATATAAATGGACAATTTGTAAGATTTGTAATTTTTCGCTATTAAAAATAGACTAATATCTGCAGAGACACTACTATGTAAATGAAATTAGCCGTACCTCGCAGGGTCCGTCGGTGCACATCGCGTCGATGGTGGCGGCGCTGCTGTCCAAGCTGGTGACCACGTTCCAGGGCATCTACAGCAACGAGTCGCGCACCACGGAGATGCTGGCTGCCGCCTGCGCCGTCGGCGTCGCCTCCTGCTTCGCCGCGCCCGTCGGTGGTCCGTGTATATATTAACACTCGAAGCGAAAACTTTGTATCCCTTTTCAATCCCTCCACGACCGCGGACACGCCGGCGTGTTAAAATAAACATTTTTTTTGTGAACCGATCTGTTTATTTTTTGTTTTAGTTTAATAGCTATTGGCGAGCTTTAGTTTTATAAATAAAAAAAATCAATAATAATCATGATCGAACTCGGCGTACATTATATTATAAATAAAGGTACATTAGACTGATTCCATGTCCAATGTGAGAATGTTTTAATTACTTTTTTGACAGGGAATCACTATTAGTAAGATTTCCAAGAAAATATTATAATATTTAATGATAATTTAAATCATTTTACCGGAATTTTGAAAAAAAGTGTAATGTAACGCGTAGGTTTATCGAAAAGGGATAAAGGATGTTTTTGGCGTTCAATTCCCTACAAAAATGTGTTTCGGTCATTCGAATTCATCTATTGATTTTTGAGATATATAATTTTGAAATTAAAAAATAGTTTTGCCCATACTATTTCTATGGGAAATGGAAATTCGCGATGCGCGACCTCTAAATATTAATACTAAGACTTCCAATTTTTACAGGCATCTTTTCTCACTTCCCTGTATCTATTTCACAGGGGATTTCGAAAGAAATAATTAAAGTCTTTTTTTTATCACTCTAATATATATGCACATACTTTCAAACATATATACATACATATACACATACATACATATATACATATATTAACTGTCATAGTTCGTTTTAGTCACCTAGTGGCTAGCACTTAGCAGGAACGGCTGCAAATTTGGAAGTTCATAATTCGAGTCCTAGGTATTATTATAATTGAACAATTTACCTTTCAATAATTAAAAGACACAAATTGGCGCTTGAAATCCGCCATTCTACTTTTTAACTATTTTTATATAGCCTATATGACACTAGAGTTTTCACGAGAAATCTAACGACGATATGAATCATCAAAACCGGCGTACGCGTTTGGTCTCTAGAAAGCCACATAGGAACAAACGTACAAACATAGACTGATAAACCTATTGCCCTCCTTTGCGTCGCGCAGTGAGGTAAAAAGACACACACAGATTAAAAACCTCATACTTTACTCTTTGTAAAATAAGCCTAACGCCACTATGGCGTCATGTAGTTAATAAAAGGAGACATCAAAATGTATTTTGAATTTAGTTTTAATGTATTAATGGATATGTTTTCATTAAAAACAAGTAGTAAATGGTCAATGAATGCTGGCGCGCTCTAAACAGTCTCAGTAATGTCCGGAAAGCACTGGATTTACTTTAAATTATACTTCTTAATTAATATTGCTCATTGGCGGTTATTTATAATTATATATGTGTACAGACTGACATATGTATATTTTATATACATACATATATGTTTGTGTGTCATTTAATGGTGTTCAATCTGTTTTTTTAAATGTTACGGATTCTGAAAGGTATAACGAAAAATGTTCAAAAATATTGTTAAGAACGATACAATTAATGACTTTATATTTTACTTTTTATTGTTACATTTTAACGTTTAGTATCGATTTCTCAGAGATGAGATATTTTGTTGCAGTAAAAAGTATCCTATATGTTGAACCGGATCATACCATACTATCATCATACCAAACTTCATTAAAATCTGTCCAGTCGTTTTTTCATGATGCGTTTTCTTAGACAGACAGGCAGACAAAAATTCTAAAAGCTAAAGATTCGGTCTCTCTGTCGACAATAATGACTATTTCAATAAGATTTCCAAAAAAAATTTAATGTACGTATTCGGCTTAGTTACAATTTTATTATATGTATAGAATAGATAGGATCGGATATTCCCCTCGGATATTAGGGCATATTAAAATAAAAAAAGCATGATTTTTTCGACCTAGCTCGAAAATACTGGTGTAGTTTTTATCTATCTATACTATAATAAAACAGTAGATGTCGAATGTCTGTACATAGCAAAAAAATTCTAAAAACCGAGTCAGGGGGATGTAAGAAGACAAATAGAACAAATCCAGATTTTTTTAATTTTTTTGTTTCTCTGTCTGTTTGTCTGTTTGTACGGGCTAATCTCCGAATCTATTGGACCAATTTAAATGAAATTTTGCACGGTGGTACCTTATATCCCCGGGCAACATCTTAGATACTTTTTATCCCGGAAAATTAAATAGTTTCCGTGGGATAGTTAAAAAACTATAGTAAATTATACAGCTTAGTACACAACAACTTATGCACCTAATTTAGTAAAAGGCATGCTGATACTTTATATTGCCGGTCAAACAACAGGTTACTTTTATCTCGGAAATATGAACGGTTTCCGTGGGAACTAATAGATCTCTATTCAAGTGTTTAGCTAGTTTAAAAATAAAAAAATGACTTGATTACGATTACAAATATTCACAAAAGGTCGATTTTTATAAACTCCAAATTGTATTATTAGTCTTTTTTAAATTAGATTTCTACTCGGAAATTTTTGAATAAAATATAACATTCTGATCAGTTAGCTTATATACTTTTTTTTTAAATAAGAGTATTTTTTATTTTGCAGGTGTTTTATTTTCCATTGAAGTAACGACCACGTACTTCGCCGTGAGGAACTACTGGAGAGGGTTCTTTGCGGCGTGCTGCAGTGCTATCGTAAGATATTATTTAAACAATTCTATTGATAAAGTCTGTATGTGTGTTCTATATTTGTTCTATCGCGTTGGATGGATCATATATTTGGATGAAATTAGCCTAGAAAGAGCTTTTTTGTGGGAAATGCATTTTACGCATACCATCTGCATACAAAGAGGTGGTAGAAAAATCAGTGCTACCCACTAAAACCCAACAGAACCTCCCCCGTCTTAATGGGGCGTTGCAAGATCGCTTCCGCACTCGAACACGACGCCCCGACGACAGGTCTGGCGAAGAATGCCCCAACAACCACGGGCTCGTTCCAACAGTCCACTTTGCTATGAGCGAAGTACCAGAAGCAACCCGCCCACCGAAGTGGGCCACCTCCATGACGTGCGTCTCTTAGCTGGATTGCCGGACGCTAATGAGCCCCTCCCTCACCACGACAAGGTGAACACTTGTTGGAAGGGAAATAGGCTATGACCTGAAGTAATACATAGCCACACTTAGGCACTTAAAAGCTCCCGGGCGGAGCAAGGATAAATAGCTGGTAATCAGGGCTGCCAGCAGAGAAATGCTGCCAGTAGAGCCAACTTATTTTATACTACTGGGTCACTTAAATTATACCTAATCAAATTTTATTATACAAATTAATAAAACTGTTGCGAAATAGTCTGTAAGGAATAAAAAAAAATAATAAAAATACGTAATAACTTAGAATGAAATATACATAAAATAACCATATTATTATACAATGTTTACGATCTGACAGCCCTGCTTGTAATGTATATGTGTGATGCGTATCCGCAGATGTTCCGGCTGCTGTCGGTGTGGTCGGGCGCGCTGCCCACCGTGAAACCGCTCTTCCCCACCAACCTGCCGCAGGACTTCCCCTTCGACCCTCAAGAGTTTGCCGTGTTCGTATTACTTGGGTGTGTAAAAAAATAATTTTATTTTTTAGAGCTCCTTACCTGAAAAGCAAAAAGGTACACTTATATGATCACTTCGTTGTCCTTCTGTCTGTCTGTATGTCTGTCTGTCTGTCTGTCTGTCTGTCAAGCCCTTTTTTGTTCAGAATCGCGCGAATAATAAGTTGAAATGAATGTCAAATACTCAGGTCTGCACTCCCTTGAAATTGTGAATACATCAAAATTCTAAGTCAACGCTATCAAAAGACAGCCGTTCATATCGCATATTTTGACACTCATCTAGAGAATCAAAACCTATAAGGTATTTGCCGTTGACCTAGAGTCATGAAATTTGGCAAGATGCAATGTCTTATAGCACAATTAAAAAGGAAAATACAAAAACCGTTAATTTGTAGTTAAATCACAAAATTTTGTGTGACGTATTTAATTGGGACAATGCTACGGAAACCCTCGGTGAGCGAGACTATTTTTGAAGTTTACGTATTTGAATGTAAAATTTTATTTCATTTTCCAGCATCGTGTGCGGTCTGATGGCCGCCCTGTGGGTGTTCTTGCACAGACAGTATGTACTGTTTATGAGGAACACCAAAGTTTTAAGCAATTTCTTACAAAAGAAGTAAGTTTTTATAATTTTATTACACAACATAAGTAGTAAATTATTTTAATATTTCGACCAATTTCAAAAAGGGGGAGTTACTCGATTCAGTTGTATGTTGTTTTAAGTCTTTGTCAATATTAAATCGATTTTTATAATTGTTGTTAAATAAGTGTTAAACGTGATCATGTACATATAAATTTAATAAATGAAGCTAAAATCAAACACACGCGCATTATTAAATACCATTTTTTTATACCACGTCGGTGGCAATCAGGCATGCGGCCCGCCTGATGGTAAGCGGTTACCGCAGCCTATGAACGCCTGCAACACCAGGGGCATCACATGCGCGTTGCCGACCCTTTAAGAACCTATTTACTCCCCTTTTCAAGGACCCCATACTGTAGCCCTCTGGGAAAAAAAGACTACTTACTACATACTTTAAGAAAAACATATAAAAACTTGCAAGCACTAAACACAAATAATATTCCACAAAAAAAATGAAGTTTTATAATATAAAATCATTGTATTTATTTCCAGCCGCTTCATCTACCCAGGGTTCATGACGTTGGCGGTGATGTCCATCCTGTTCCCGCCCGGCCTCGGCAAGTACATGGCGGCGGACCTCGGCAACCAGGAACAGGTGGGCAACAAGTTGTTTATATTTGTATATTAAGTTTGATAGACAGACAAATGATTCCTATCCCAGCCGATGCAAAGCATATGTAATATGTTTCAGTACATCACAAATTGATGTATAATATTTTAACTATAATTAGAGTTCATACCTAATCATAAAATATTGTGGGCATCTATTCTAAATGAAACTTTAAAAAAACGGGGGTTCCGTTTAGTTACTTTTATTTTTCCATTTTTAGTGTCGACGTAATAAGCAGGTTATATGCAACAAGAAAGTTTTAATAACATATTCGATTAAGCAATTTACTTTAAAAAATAATTTATTGTTGATTTTATTTAAAAACTGCTCCACCGATTTCAATAAAATTTATAGGACCACGTGGGAAGTATACACCCTTCGAAACAAAAAAATCCAAATCGGTTCAGGCGTCTTCGAGTAATCGGTGAGCATACATAAAAAAAATCCGACAAATTGAAAACTTCCTCCTTTTTTGGAAGTCGGTTAAAAAAATGAAAATGGTGGTGAGAAAATATTAAAATAGCGGCTGCTATCGCCAGGTTGTATGTAATGTTCGATGGTCGCATGGCAGGTGCTGTCGCTGTTCGCCAACTTCACGTGGTCGGACGCGCTGAGCGCGGAGCAGGCGGCCGTGGTGGCGCACTGGCGCACGCCCGAAGTCGGACACGTCGGCTGCCTCGTCATATACTTCTGGTCCATCGTCAGTATCGCATTGTTTATTGTTTTATGTGCTTCTTATTATAATTATGTATATCTCTTTGGAAATAATGGACTCGAAGGACCCCCGTCCTTTGTGAAGCTCGCGTGGGGATCACAGCTCGCAACGCGTAGAGGAAGTAGATAAAATTTAAAAAAATGTGTTTTTCTCATAAATACCGTATATAATTTAGTTAAAAGCTTTTATTTCGATATTACACTTCAATTTTATTTATCTCTATAGATATATGTCAGATCTATTCCGATAAATGGTCTGGTTTGTTATTATGGTTAGAAACCAATTTTCATATTTCTCTGAATCTAGAATAATTTTAGTATTATTATAAACACCGCACACCGCATAAGAAATACATAAGGAACGAAATATATGCACATAGAAAAATAGATGCACAGCAAGCAGCCTTATCGCTAGAAGCGATCTCTTGCAGGCAACCTTAGGATAGACGAATCAGTGTACAAAATGGTAGATGGTGTACTCGCATACATACGTACATACATATTTCATACAGACATATTACATATATACATACACACAAGTATTAAGTGCTAGTTAAATATTACAATGCTTTAATTATTACGTACTCAAGTATGTAAGCGAATTTATTGAAGGTGTTTTAGTTGAAATATTTATTTAGTTTTGCAAGTGTTATAATAATACATTAAATTGGGTCCATTGAGATTTTCTTGATGTTACTTCTATTAATTTCATGATAATGTTAGGAGGTCTATATTTAATCAAAATATTTTATTTCGACCACCGAAAGATCATAGTTACGATACAAAAGTTTTCTTTTTTACCTCCTTCTTATAGTAATGTCAAATTGAGTCTATGGTATCACAGGCATAGGTTATGATTAGTATTGCTATCGGGTATACTATTTTTTTTTGCCGTCCTTTAATGTAAAAATTTAAAAATTTACTCTAAGTTGGAAAAGGTATAAATTAGTATTTAAAAAATTAATAATAAAATAAAGTTGCTCTTTATTTGTTAGATATTAGCTTTGTAAGACCAGTTGAGATTGCGAAAAAGAGTAAAATAAAAAATAATAAAGTATAATTATCTTTCTTCCTCACATCTAAGGTATTCGAAGAATTTATAATTTCATAAGCTAATTATTATAATTTTATTATTGGACAAAATAATTCGACGAGGATGGGATTCGAACCCACGCGTGCAGAGCACATTGGATTAGCAGTCCAACGCCTTAACCACTCGGCCACCTCGTCTTGTATATTAAAAACCAAATAACACAGTAACATGACTTGACAATAACATTAGACAGTAACATATTAAAATTTTATTATATTTAAAATATATGTATATTGTATCAATTATGGCTTTGTTCATCTTAATATATGTATATATTCTTGAAATATATATCCCATATCTGTAATATATATTGTTCTACTATACACTAATCTCAGAAACTAATAATCCGATTTGAAATATTCTTTTTGCATTAGATATCCCGTTTATTGAGGAAGGCTATAGGCTATAATAATTATATAATATATTATAATAGTCTATCTATTCCATATTAACCGTTAAAACGTACCTAAACCCTAACGGACGAACCCGAGCGAAAAAAAGATGAGTCGCTAGTATTTAAATACTATTTATAAGGCATTTATTTAAATAAACATGCAGATATAATTTTATTTTAAATATCTATGAATAAGAATCCTATTTACACAATTGTTATAACCTCCATATTAGTAGGTAATGGTCACTTACAGTATTGTAATGTCAATGTTTGCTTTTATTGCGCAGGAGTTATTGGTTTTTAAAATTAGCCGTAAAATGTGAAATAATATAATTGCTAATGCTAGCAACTAATGTAAAAAGCTTTATTTTAATATTGTGCATGTGTATAATGATATTGGGATACACAAGAGTCTTTTACTAATTAATGGATTATAATTTTTTTTTGTAGTTTCACCCAAATCCATCCAGCTGTTTTTCAATTTTGAGATTGAAAAAGCAATGAATAAACACACATACATATAGAGAGAGACAGACAGAGATGTACTGCTCCTTAACTCTTACGGTACTCGTGTAAAGTACTAATGACATTTATTATTTGACGACACGTTTGGCTCAGTTTGTAGTGATCCTACTTGCTGTGTCAGCGGTTGCGGGTTCCAGTCCCGCTGGGGGCATTCATTTGTGTGATGAGCAACGAATGTTTGCACTCCAATCATGGGTGTTTATATTTATAATATGTATGTATTTAAGGTTATATGTGTAGTGTATCAACTATCTGTTATCCATACCACAGGTCGTAGCTTACCATGGAATTAGATGTTAATGTCCCGATATATTTATTTACTAGCGACTCACCCTTGCTTCGCTCGGATCCGTCCTTAGGTACGTTTTAATTTTTTTGAGCGGAATCCTAATTCTTTTTCTAAAATTAAAATAGCCTGTGCTACTCCCTATAACATCAGCTTTCTTCCAGTGAAAGTCCCATTAAAATCAGTCCAGCCGTTTCGGAGATTATCCGGAACAAACAGACAGACAGATTTTTTTTAAATTGTGTTTGTCTTTTAAGTACCGTATATAATTTCATATGCATTTAGTAAAACGCTGTTACTTTGACATTACAAACGGGCACTTGAATTTTATTTATCTGTATAGATAATCATTTGTAATGTTGTCGGTCAGTTCTTCCTGGCGCTGGTGTCGTGCACGCTGCCGGTGCCGGCGGGCATCTTCGTGCCGGCTTTCAAGATGGGCGCGTCGCTGGGCAGGCTCACCGGCGAGCTCATGCACTACTTCTGCCCGCTCGGCGTCGCCTACGGGGGGCATATACAGAAGATATTGCCCGGTCAGTCCGTTTTATAGGGAAAGCTTATGAGGATACCTTTATTTATTAGGGGACACGTTTTTTTATGGTTTATGAATGGGATAGATTCGTGTAATATATTTATATAATATAATATATAATATATATATATATAATATTTTAATTTTTGTATAAGATATTTGTACGGCATGTTGTTTTTAAATTCATATATTATTATATTGGTCTGATTTAAACATATCTTTGTCTAACGATCTAAATACCAAAATGAAACCGCGAAGAAATTCTATTAAAAATGGTTTCTGTAAGTCTAAAAAACTATGCTTTTCACTTCCCAAAGACTATAATAATTATTATTTTATAGATTAGTAATAATTAATTCGATGTATTCCCCAGGAGGCTACGCGACGGTGGGCGCGGCCGCCTTCACGGGCGCGGTCACACACACGGTGTCCACTATTGTCATTTGCATCGAGATGACGGGACAGGTATTTATAGTCTCTTTCTCTTTCTTTCTCTTTCTCTATCTGTTTGAGACTGCTATGGTATCATTATTGATTTTCATTAAAAATTGTATTAAACAAATTCTGATAAAAACACTTATTGTTATAGCGGCATATCGTTTACAATAACTTTATCACAAACTAGAGACTTACGTCGTTTCGTTCGATTGCGTCCCTAGTTGCATTTTGCGACTTCAAACAATTTTTTTATTTTTCATACACGTTTCAAATTTTGTACGTGTATAATAATTTATACGTGTATAAAATTTTCACCCAAATCCGCCCAGCCGTTTACTTAAAAAGTCAACGCGAAGACTTAACAAAGTCCAATTCACGCACATAAATTCTCACAGTAGGGAATAATACGCGTATGCTTTAAATAAAGGTGAAATATTTTTTTATAACCTTTATTTCTTCTGAATTAAGCCATTATCAATATTTTTTAATATCATTTCTTTTTAATGACGATAATATTTACTAACAAATGCAAAAACAGGTCAGACTTTAATGTAATTGAAACCCACGCCATCGGTCAAACCGAATATGAATTTCAGAGCATGTCATAAAAGAGCGATTTTGTCGCTTACAAATAGCTTAAGTATTAGTTGTCCATTATCCAGTATCATGACGAGCCAAAGAGAGGCAGACCAGAGCAGGGCGGCATAGACTATAAATTCATAGATAATAAATATGTAACACAATTATATAAGGATGTTAGTAAGCTATTGTATAAAAAAAACCATGCATATTCCCTATTATAACCGCAGTCAGATTAAAGATGTGTTGCATGCGCAGGTGACGCACCTGCTGCCGATCATGGCGGCGGTGCTGGCGGCCAACGCCACGGCGGCGCTGCTGCAGCCCTCGTGCTTCGACAGCATCATCCTCATCAAGAAGCTGCCCTACCTGCCCGACCTGCTCTCCTCCGCCAGCCGTCAGACATTTATTTTTATTTATTTATTTACTTACTAGCATTGCCCGCGGCTCCGCCCGCGTTAGATGACCAAAAACCAAATTCTCAGGTTTTACATATTAGTATACTCTTACACTAGAGTTTTTGTATTTTTTCTCAGAAATGACATATTTTCCCGCGGTAAAAAGTATCCTATGTGTTGACCCGGATGACCAGCTATCGCCATATAAAATTTCAGCCAAATGCGGTAACAGACAGACATACAAAAATTTTAAAAATACTATAGATTCGGCCTCTGTTTCGACAATAATGTTTATTTCATTAAGATTAAGACCAACAAGACACACTACAAAAGCATAATAATATAATTGCAATAAATAATTAATTCTAAGTGTTGCCTTAATTACAGGTGTTACACACATTTCATAAGAGATAGACACAAATACATGAAAAAAAAATTATTTTAAAAACTACTTTCCATATCTTTCAAACTAATATTAACTAAAATTAGCAATCTAGCTTCAATTTTGGTTACGTAATTTATTTGAATTTACTATATAGTAGAATCTAGACTATTTTAGTCATTTTGATATTACGAGTACATCTATAATGAAACTCGATATGTCAACTAAAAAATATTTCGACGAGGATGGGATTCGAACCCACGCGTGCAGAGCACATTGGATTAGCAGTCCAACGCCTTAACCACTCGGCCACCTCGTCTTCATGTTAGATAGTCAAAATACTTATCCTGAACAGCTAATAAAATAAATACATGAAAACAGTTGTTCACACAGTAAATAACTATAAAAAAAATAAACATTAAAGTTTAATAATATTTTAATAGTATGTAAAAAAATCTATACATATTATAATTTTGTAATTGATCGCTGTCTGTCCATAGAAGATATTTGAGAAAAACTATTAATGGAGGTCTTTATTAATTTCAATCGGGTTATAAATGAAAAAGTTAAGTTTGTTATTGGAACTAGATGGTGCTGTGTGTTAATGTCCCAACATATTTATTATATTTATATATAATGTTTGTCCGCAGGTATGTACGACATCTGCGTCGAGGACTTCATGGTGTGCGACGTCAAGTACATCTGGAACAAGATGACCTTCCAGCAGTTAAAAGACATATTGAAAGAAAATAAGGTAAAATTATTGAGATCTTTTTTATGATTTGATTTTCTGGGCTCACGGCTAAAAGTATTAAAATATTTTTATACTTTAGGATTTTTTTAAAGGACATTGATATTGGCCATTATAGATTTTAGATTTTTTTTATTTATCTAAAACTAAAATTATTCTAATATACCACCAATCCATAAATAATTTTATTTTGGTTACTATAGAAATATTTATAAAAACTTTAAAAATGTTCTCGACAGACAATCAAGAGTTTCCCACTTGTGGACAGTCCAGCCTCCATGGTACTATTAGGTTCAATCCATCGTTGGGAACTAGTAAAAGTTATAGAACAACAAGTAGGCAGGTCCAGACGACTTCAGGTAGCTGCTTTATGGCAGAGAGAAGCGGAATTGAGGAGACGTGATGAAGAGAAGAAGAAAGTACGAAGACCTTCAAGGTTTGAAGTAACACCGGCACCAGATATGCTCCAAGTCCCAGGGACAGGCATGACTAGAGGTTCCTCGTTGACTACGCAAGACCAGGGTGGTCTTATACCAGGTAAATAATAATTACATGAATGAATGAATAAGTGAGTGAATGAATGAAGGAATAAAAGAAATTATTTATGTATTACATTTGTATTATGTAATTGATTGCACATGTATGTTATAATATGTGATACATAACTGCTGGTTTAGTATTTTTATTTTCCTGTTGTATATGCAAAGGTAAATGTTATAATAATTTTTATATTGTTAAATTATACTCTCTTAGATTTACGTCAATATTTGACATTTTAAATAAAACCTTTTTGGATTATTTCGCGGAATTATTTTGATTTTTGGTTCCCAACGTTTCGAATGCTTTACAACAATCATGGTCACGGGAGACACCAAGGTTATAGACGTCTCAAACACATACACTTGTTATAGACATTACCTACCCACTATTTTACAAAAATAATTACAGTAATTCAAAAATGGCACTAAAGTACCTTACAATATCTGTTGATATTTATTTCTAAACATTTAAAAAAAAAAAATAAGTATTATAATTAAATATGGCAATATTATTTATTTAATATTAGCTGTTAGTATTATAAATATTACAAATTTTTTTAAACTTTATTAACTTTAATAATGGCAGTAGACTGGTAATGTCACAAAAATCTATTCTTTTTTAGTAAGTTTCATTAATTTCATAGAAGTATGAATTAACTAACGACTCAAATTTGCGTCGCTTGGGTTCGTATAAACCATATAAACATCCACCCCCTTTTCACCCCTTTAAGAGATAATTTCCGGACTAAAAACTATCCTATGCCTTTCCCAGGGTCTCAAACTGTCCCTATACTATAAGAGACCTTAACTGTCCCTATATTATAATATTAGTATGGAAGTATGAATGAAAGTACAAAACTGCAGATTACATTTTATATGAATTATACTCTTAGAAACCATATACTTAATATTTGTCCCCACACTCCAGCTCCAGGCCAACTGTTCCGGCCCAAGTCGATCCTGAAGAAGACGAACTCGTTCACGCTAAGCCGCGGGCTGTCGCCGGGCTCCGGCGCCGCGTCGCCCGCGCCGCCGCCCGTCTACACCACCGTCACCGGCGCCGAGACCAGGTGCGAGGGGACTGTTGTAAGCTCGGGGGGCTATGGTAGCCTCGAGCAGATTCTTCTAGTATTATGGGGGTGTTTTAGTTGATTTGGTATGATTTTTGTAGCCCGGGAAGAATGTTGTAGCATCGGGGGGACTATTGTAGCCTCGGGGGGCTCTTATAGCTTTGGGGGGCTGTTGAATGCATCGATGGAACTCTTGTATACCCTAACATTCATACGTTAATAACCGAGTCAAGAATAATTCCTGTTGGCCGGATTACGGTCTTTTTAGAGATCGTAGTTCCTCTAAAGGAAATAATTGGCCACATTATTTAATAGTAATTATAAAATTGTAATTAAAAAATATTCTAGGCATATTTAGATAAATAAAAAATATATAATAATTATGGTAGAACTTAGTGCACATATTGACTTAAAATTACGCGTTCCCTCTTAGTAATTCCATTTCGAAATTCGGTCAAAACCATAAGTGATTTTCAATTCAAACTAACTCATCAACTATTTTGATGTATTAATTATAATAATTAACAAATGACCCAATATTAATATTGTAACAGAATCCGAGCGGCCTTCGAGGCGATCTTCAAGAGGTCCACCCTCCTGCCTGACGTGGAGAGCGGCCTCAACGACCAGCTCGGCCTGCCGCGAAGTCCCTCCATAAACAAGAAAGTGCAATTGGTAATTTGTTACACTGTACCTCTTAAATAAATAATATACGCATATTAATAATAAAATACGCCAAAGATGGCGCTTGTACAAAATATTATAATCTTAAAGGAATCTAAATCTATATAAATAAAAATGAATCACCGAAATATATATACGCGCATAACTTCTGATCGACTTCACCAATTTAATATTCTTTTTTATTCGCTTTGTATAGAAGAAAATTCAAAGATTTTTTTTTACTAGAATAAGGTTTAAGTTTTTTTTTACATCTCATGATATGAAAAGTGAGCGTGTGAAATAGTTTTTATCCCGGAAAGCATCCCTTAAGGTGGTGAGAATGGGGATGAAAGTTTGTATGGGGAAGCAAGGTAGGGACGAACCCGAGTAAAGCAAGGGTGAGTCGCTAGTTAAGAATAAAACAAAATGATATCCGCACAGCCGCGGGAGCGCGTGTGCGACATGTCGCCGGAGGACCAGCAGGCGTGGGAGCTGCTGGAGATGGCCAAGGAGATCGACTTCGACAGGATGCTGCAGATAGCGCGCAAGCGGGACATGGTCAGTGCACTGTGGTTTTTTATCATTTTTTTTATTATTTCTTTTTTGTGTACAGTACGTTGCCTTATCATTCTACTGTTACTTCAAAAGCTTTTTTATTTTAATATTAGTGACGACTCAAATGAAGACAATGACCTAATTAGATTTTTACAAAAAAAACTATGACGTTACGGATTTTAATAAAGAATTTTTTATCACACTTTTAACAGTTTTTTTAATATTATAGTTAGTGTTCTAAAAATAAAATTAATATACTCGTAGGTTATAGGAATTTTTTCTTGAAATTTGTACACTGTTCATGTATTTGTCTTACGTATCTATATTTAACACTAGCGATTCCCTCTCGCTTCTCCTCGGGTTCGTCCCTAGACTAAAACAAATCTATCCCACGTAAACCGTACATTTCTCCGGGATTTTGGAGCTTATACGTGTATATTTAATATTAATTGTATAATATATTAAATATAATAAAAGGGACGACCGTTTCAATATTTATTTAAAAAAAAAACATGAAATTCAATTATATAGACGCAGATATTTTTTAACCAAATAATCATACACCCTAATAGACTTCCCCTATTTTAAGTCAGTCAAGAATAACAATATTATTTGACAATACAATTAAAAGTAAATTTTGTTTGGACATTTACAGCAAAATGACGACTCTGAATATGAAGACGAGGCGCTGTACATCTGCCACATCGACCCTGCGCCCTTCCAGCTCGTGGAGAGGACGTCTTTACTTAAGGTTTGTAATTTTTTAACATTTATCGGTCGTTTTATTTATATTTTTACTTATTTTAGCTTAATTTACCATAATCCTATACTAGTTTTCATTATTATTATTTAAACTTTGAACCTCCGACGTCCGGCCCGCAGGTGCACTCGCTGTTCTCGACGCTGGGCGTGAGCCGCGCGTACGTCACCGCCATCGGGAGGCTCATCGGCGTCGTGTCGCTGAAGGAAGTACGTGCTTTTCCTCTTATATTATAATTTTAATACAGCTATATTTGTTATATGTATATAATAATATATCAATTTTATGCATCACTATAAAAATCAAGAAATTATAAAATTATGTATACATACTAAAATAACTGATCAAGCACTAAGTCTAGATTCTAGATAAAGGAACAATCCAAAAATGTCTTTCAAATTGCCATCAGATGTCAATGTTTGAAGTAAAAAGACAGACATGATAGAGAACCATCGCCATAATAATTGTATTTCAAAATGGCTTAAATGAAAACAATTTTTTAGTGACACATCACTTTTTATGATTATAGTCATTTTCATGGCGATTTTTAACTTCAAACACCTGGAATAAGTGACATCTTAGAGCGTTATATTACTAATACTTTATTATTTATTTAAGAGTTTTCTATCTATACACACTCATTTTACAGTGCGCCGCAACTTATAAAAAAAAATTAAAATGGTGGAATACTGGTAAAAAGCCGTTCTACCTTCTTCACTAACACTTACATGATGACTTCTTCCAGCTCCGCAAAGCAATAGAAGACGTGAACTCCGGCGCCCTAACGCCCCTCAACCGCCCTACGGCGCTGTCGCCGCCCTCCCCGCCCGCCCCCGCGCTCCTCAAGGCGGCCCGCAGCGAGCCCGCGCCGCCCTCCGACCGCGACACCGACAAGCTGACTACGCACTGACTACGGAGCTATGCGGTGAGTGTGCTTTATTATTTTGTAACCCTCGCCGTGACCACGGAGATCAAAAATGGTATTTTCTATTAATATCTACCGATCTACCTCTGCTATTGTGAATTTTTTGACAGTTGCACCATACAACTAATTATAATTTTTCAGTTTAATAGTTCTATATTCCTAATATTATGCATCACTTATGCCACCAACCAACCAAAAAAACAGACCAAACCAACGAATTTCGATCATCAAAATTCTATTCATTTTCGATATTCGAATTTCGATAATCAAATTGTAAAATTAAACTTATTGTTTTAACCATAATACATTCGTTGTTAAGTTCAAGAATCCAAATATAAATTAAATATTTTTTCAAACATTCTGTTTTTAATTGCAGGTTCCCATCATGAAGTGATAAAAAGTAAAAGACTTTGCACGATCACGCTATACAGTATTCTATGTTTAGGGCTTATTCTGTCTCAGTGGTGCTGATATGCATATACGAGGTTCGACCTACGCTGTGTGTAAATGATATATTAAATGTAATATGTGTATTTATTGGGTATGTTGAAAACCAGTTGCAACTGGTTCGCCATTTTGTTTCTTATTTTTTTGTAATAGAACTAAGTCGCTTAAAATCGTTTTGTTCATTAAATTATTATTGATGAAATGATTGTCAAAACATTGATTATAGTTTTTATAGAAATAGTATTCGACTTTTTAACCAATAACAAAAATCATAAAATATGGTAATTGAATCCACAGAAATATGATTAGTTCAAAAATTAATTACTATTTATTGATTTTTTTAAATATATTTTTTTCTAAATATTCTCTCACTAAGAGCATCGAAATAGTCTCTGTTATGTATTTTTAAGTGGCTTAGTTTATTAAACAAAATAAATAATAACTAGTGTCACAAAGGTTGTGTCTGTATGTAGTTAGTTAATTTATTTTACATGAAAAATGAGTACACTCTATATTTTCTAATGGAATAGGTTTTATAGTTTTTTTAATGAAATCTACACAATCTTTTATTATTGATTTTAAATGTTATTTTTTTTAGTATATAGGGTGCTAAAGACTAGTTATATTTATATATACATTTATTAATATTTATTTAAAATGAATATCATGGTTTTTTTAAGTAGCTAAGCAAAATTTAATAAGAACATTTATATTTACATATTATACTTATGTAAGAGTAAAAGTGGCCAAAAGAATATAAAGATCTCGGGCCTGTATATATTTTATATTTGTTGATTGCACTTTTATATATTATGTATAAAAAAATATAAAAAGGCTTGTGATTATTGAAATCATTCCAAATCAGTAATTAGTTTAAAAATGATTAAAATACCTGCCAGGTCTAAAAGACAATAAATTAAGTGCCATTCCGTACTGTAGAGAATAGCACTTGACCATTTTTATAAAAAAATATATAAGTATAGATTAAAAAATATTTATTTAATCAATTTTAAGGCATTTAAAGCCGTGTCCGGAGTCTGTGATGTTTAAAAAAACAGACTTTTGTCTGTATGTTTAACATATATCTAGTAATTTAGTATTAATTTGTGTGTCAGATGATGGCAAAATTTGGCTGAACGACTTGTTCCTTTGTCTAGTATTTTTTTATTTAAATTTAAAAACCATTTAGCAAATTTTAAATTATAATTATTATTATACATATTGTTCAAGTCATTCGTTGCCTAAAATGTACGTAGTTAAATACTTGAAATAAAATTTTACTGTAATGAGCGAAGTTTGAATTTATTAGTGAAATTCGGACATTATATGAAAAAAGAAACCTTTAATAGTATCGTGATTTAAACAACAATTTATTAATTTACTTGTAAAATTGCCGAAATATTGGTCCCACTACTCATTTTAATATATTTTTTTAATTTATTCTCGAATATTTATTAACTAAATGTCCTGATAAATTCCCAAAGCGGGTTGATGTCAGGCAGGCGGCCGGTCGTAAAACTTTTGCCAAAACCGATGAGCAATATGGTAGACGTACTGCGCCGACCTCAAGTGATTGGGAAATGGACAGAGAGACGATGATCATGCATATTATTTAATAATACTTTCTTAACATCAATATTTGACATTTGAAATAAAAGTACCAAATTTTCTCAAATCTTTCCAGTGGTTTTCTCGTGATGCGTTCCCAGACAAACGGACAAAAATTCTAAAAACTATAGATTCGGCCTCTGTATCGTTAATAGTGATTATTACAATAAAATTTTCCAAAAAATATTTAATGTATAGATTTGACTCGGTTAGAATTTTATTATATGTATGTATATTTGCCATTGTAATACATAACAAAAATTAAAACTTCGCCCATTGTTGTAGAACAACATAGTATTAAATGGTGTGTCGACTGTTGCTTCATATTAAACATGTTGTGCGTTTTGTGTGAGTTTTATTTTAGTCCTATCCTTTGGCTTTACTTGCAGGTAAATCAGAATATTTATTTCATGAATGCTCTATCTACACTAATATTGTAAAGACGCAGAGTTTGTTTGTTTGAACGCGCTAATCTCAGGAACTACTGATCCGATTTGAAAAATTCTTTTGGCATTAGATAGCCCGTTTATTGAGGAAGGTTATAACTTATAACCTTCCTATATCATATAATATTAACAGTTAAAATGTAACTAGGGACAACCCCAAGCGAAACGAATGTGAGTCACCAGTATATTATAATCATATTAAAACTAAATCAGTAGTTTCTGAGCTTTTTCCTACATCGAAACTGACAAAATGCCTATAGAAAATGCAGCTTAAAAATGATTTTTTTTAGGGAATATAAATAAAATCATATCTAAATTGGGTATAAGTGTCATATTTTATTTACATTTATTTCGACGAGTCGTTAAACTATAATACTCAGGCACTGTGGTGCGAGTGTAATCGTTTTAAGTACAGACAATGTTCTAACGTACACATACAGTTACCTTAGCTTCTACGAACATACATATCTGTTTACTATATTTAATGATATATACATACATACATATATATATACAAATTTCCAGTGAATTAAACAAAAAAAATAGATTTACAACATTTGATTTATACTTTAACATTTCTAACATCATCGATCAAAAAAGTACTAGATACACACAATCCCATCCTAAAACTTGTCTTAAATCTGTCACCAATTGTATTTAGGTAATTATTCTAGTTCAAATAAATATACAACAATTTAAATTGAACTTTAAATGCAACGCTAAAAGTTGATTTCACAAAAAAAAAGCGCACTCAAATGTCAAATGTTATGTCTAAATGAGCGGTCATATAGTGAGAATATTTTTGTCACTGATTGTGTACATAGTACTTTTTGATCGATGTATAGAATCATAATATTACATTCCCAAATCTTATCTTAGATTTCTATTCAACTGAGGCAGTGATAGCCCAGTGGTAACGCGCTCGTTTGGGAAACCGAGAGAAGCGGATTCAAATTCAGAGTTAAAAAATCGTTAGGAAACCCGAATGTCTAAGAAAACCTAGCAACTTTTTTTAAAGACATGTGAAGTCGGTGAACCCGCACTTAGCTAACGTGGCTATGACTATGGCGTGACCCCCTCGTACTGAAGGCAGGCCCGTGCCCAGCTGTGGGACGTTAAGGACTGAATACATACACATATTCTTCAACTATTGTGAAATAACATCTTTTCTAAGTCCCATTGTCTAGTATATATCTAAACTTCTTAAAGAAATTACTCTACTTTCAAATTTGAAAGAACTAACGTACAATCTAGCTTGTACCATAGACATAGAGAATGGACAGAGAGAAAGCGAACGTGCGGTCAATACCTATCTTTTATTCCAATTTGAATTTATAAATGGAATATAAAAAAATGTACTTAATATTATTCAAAAAGTTTAGCCGTACATTCGTTTTGTCTCTGTCGCGCCTTCCTGCCATTTCCAGCTGACTGCTGTACAAATAATGATACATTACATATGATTTATGATATTTGAAATACATGTAGGGGAGAGCGGGGCTGGAAGTTACCGGGGTAAGTAGTTCCGACAGTAATAACTCTGTAAGGGAAAGACATAGCAATAGATGTGAAGTACGCCGTTAAAGCATCAGGTAACGCGCTGCTCCGTCAGGCATTTTAGTTACTCCGGCGACGAAGGTTGAGTGGCTGTGTGCATGTAGCTGTCAAAACGTCACGTAAGTAAATTTTTTCGTGCTTAAACTATTTGGTCTATCTATGTTTATTATAAACCGATTCATACGTAACTTTCCGAAATTGTAGTGATATTGGTAAGGTATATTGTCGCATAAGTATTTTTATACTTTGTTATATTAGTTTGCCAGTATGTCAGTCTTCGTATATAAACGTAATTTGGGGTAATAAGTTCCTTCCTGACGGGGCTGGTTGTTCCCAGGAACAAATTACCCCAATTTACCATCGTCGTATATCTAAAATACTTTAGACCATTTTTTTCATTTTAAGGGTGCGAAATTACAAGCATAAGACAGAGGAAGGTAAAACCTCCGAGACTCCTTCGAGATTCTTTTAAACTGTGGCAAGAGAACCTGAAATTTGCTGGAGCTGACTGTTTCACTGGATATAAGAAAAAAATCTATTTTAACTGACACGCCAGACAAAATGCGTTAGTTGAAGAACAGACAAAGAAGAAGACAAAAAAGAATGAAGACGTTGCAAAGAAAGGATAAGGAAAAACAAACAAAAATAGTAAAGGAAAAGATAAAACCAACGGGAAAGGGAAGGGAAAATCTCAAGGAAAAGCTAAACGAAGAGTGTTACAAGAAAACGAGACTGACATGTTAGCACGATCTAGAATGGTACGGCATAATTTGTTGTGATGCATATTCAAATTTTCGTCCAAGAGAACAATGGATAGAATGTATCATGTGTAAAAAATGGGCTCGTATCAAATGTTTAGAGGCGTACTTATGTGTGTCCCAACTGTGAGTCAGATGAAGAAATGAGTGTCGTATAAGATTCCTGATGAATGAGAATGGAGATTGCCAAATTTAATTACACCTGATTGTTTTGACTGTAAGACTGATGATTAATAATTTAAACAAATAAAAATAAGTTTATTTGGAGATTATGTTTTGTTGTTTCTTGAAGTCAAGTTATGCATCTGATAAGATTTATAAGTTGATAGATCTCGATTATATGTTAACTAAGTAAAGAAACGTTTATCTGGAGCTCACCATTTAGGATTCGTTGTTTTTTAACGTTACAAAAAGTTTATCTGGACCAGTAATGTTTTGTACCAGTAATAGTTTGTTGTTTTTTTAAGTTTGTTTTTGCATAACTTAAACATTACATCATAAATATACACAAATGGTTGTTTTATTTTATAAAACCTGTGTTATTCGGACAGATTATTGTTATAATCTAAGTGGAACAATTTGCCCCAACGATGGAACAAATCGCCCCAAAGCGGGGCTGAATGTTCCGCTCCGAAATTTGACAAAAAATTGCTTCTGTAAAAAAAACTATTGAGATATTAGTGTAAATGACTATAATATTACAAAAACCAATAAACATCCATTCAATATTTGCACATGTTAAAAATAAAACCCTTCATTTTTATAATAAAATTTCATGTTATTTGAAAATCGGAACTTCCAACCCCGCTCTCCCCTAATGCTTTGAGAATCACAATTATTTAAATACCAGTCAGTACTTATTTCCATATCCACTAATACTTATATCGAATTATCTAATTAGCGTCTGAATGTTCTATTATATTCGCCATCCTAACATAAGACTGGGATTTTTCTTAACCCACGTCCAAAAAGGAGGAGGTTATGTGTTTTATTTATATTAAAATGGCGATTTTAAAAAGAGGTATTCTGGCTTTAACTTATTTCTTAACTTTCGAAAACCTACAACTATACATCCTTATACAGATATTTGATAATTTATCATACTTAAATATTTTGATAACACTCAAGAAGGCCGTCTTGAAGGTAAAAAGTTGCCATGAAAAAACATTCTTTAGTCATTATAATCAAAAAATATTACACACAGAACACCAAATTGTAATTTATTTGTAAAATAATCAAGTCATCAGGCGATAAAAGTATAATTATCCGATTGCCCATTTGCACTTATTTTGAAAAAACTACATAAATTTCTATTTGAAAATGCTCCGTACAAGTGAACATTGTTGCTTTTATTGTTGTTTTCTATAGATTTTACGAGTTTTGATAAACAGTGGCCGAACCAAAGTCCTCTCATTGACTGAGAAGCTTATCATTTCGGCTTCATTTATTTTACACTTGATTTACTGCTCCGATATGAGTATCGTTTGAATACAATGCTTATTTATATACATGATGTTGAATTGCCATCTTAAATGTTTATTAAAATCTGGTTTTTCTTGGGAAGAAAGCGCAAATTTTGACATGGCGATGACACGTTTGACTCAGTTTGTAGTGATCCTACTTGCTGTGCCAGCGTTCGCGGGTTCGAGTCCCGCTGGGAGCATTCATTTGTATGATGTTTGTACTCTAGTCATGGGTGTTTATATTTATAATATGTATGTATTTAAAGTTATATATGTGTAGTGTATCAACTATCTGGTATCCATAACACAAGCCTCGTAGCTTACCATGGAACTAGATGGTGCTGTGTGTTAATGTCTTAACTTATTTATTTTATTTATATGAGTTACTCATTATCATGAGAATAGGTACATGATTTCACTTTAACAATATATCGACTACCTTCATTGTGAATGTTTACCAAAATTGAATAAGAACCTAACAATTAAATTATATTAGTAAAATATTGGGTCCATTTTCAAATTTTATTGGATTTAAAAAAAGTCCTCTTATCAATTGCTAAATAAAATTTAAAAATGCACCCGAGTGTTTTTAACGTTAACTTTGTTTATTTAAAAAAGAAAGGAAATAATAAATTAATATAACGATCTACCTAAGAAAAAATTTTGCTTTCGAAGTAACAATTTATAATATAGGTATTATTTATATAACGTAATTCCATATCTAGATAATTAGTTTAAACTTAAACCTATAATTAAATAAATGCATTGTTTGAAATATCTTATAAATAAATCACAACAATATTAAATTATAACATAGTATCGAACTAACAATATCACATTCAACTTAAGTAGAAATATCACCCAGTTTAGAAAGTATAAAGTGGAAATTTGCCACTTAAAATAACTTGCGGGGGAGATTATTTGGCAGTTATCTTATCATAATCTACATTAAACTCAAAAAATCTATGTTGATAATGAGTTTTCCTTCGTTATGTTACCTGCGTACAAGCCTTCTCAAAGTTATCAGTTATCACTCCATCTTACATTTCCCAGACCAACTTACTTCATAAGTCTAGATTTCTAAAGGAATAAGCCCTGATTTTCTATTTATCAGTAAATTTTCATGAGTAAGTTTGAAATAAAGAAAATATCGCAAGCGATAGATCTTCACGTATTTGAGAAACCCTGTTTTAGCTGTTTTAGTATCGAGTCTAATTTTATGTCATTAGTTTACTAATTTTGTGATATCACTATAATAAATATATTTATGATAGTATATCAAAAAATATATTAAACTGCTAATTAGCTATAAGTTCACAGTGTTACGGTTTAGCTTTCAACTAGGACAAATTTGTTCAAACCACCAATATTTTTGTACTTTCCAGTAGAGTGTCTACCGTCTAATTTAAAACAAAACTTAGTTTCTAAGATTGACATACATATATAGATATCATATTATTTTTCCGCTTTAAAGTAAAATGTTTATACCAATAGAGTTGACATGTAAACGTCATCGATTCCGTAATAAAAACTTTTCAAATTGATCGCTTAGACAAATAAGCACTGAGACGACGCAAACTGACGTAAAAACGTCCGGCACTAAAGTAAATACTACATACACCCACACGATTCAACCACCATGTTGGGGAGAGTTTTCTGCGTGACGCTGTTATTTGAGTCCATGTAGAGAAGTTGCAGAGAGCTGAAGGTGGTCGGAGCACAGCACGGCTTGAACTCCGATTTCATTTCATTTGACACGGAATAGAAATATTTCTGTGGACAAGGTAGAGAACAAATTATGTATTTAGCCAAAAATAGTTAACGCTAGTTCAAGCTTTGATTATAGTTTTACTTATAAATATTGGGGGTTTAAAGGAACTGTTATTTTACAATTATTTATTGGGGGAAATCAATAAGCTTATTCTACCGATCAATCCCCTTTGTGACTTCCTCCATTTTACGTGACATCGGCGAAGTAATCTGTTTTAACTGGCACGCTTTGAAGCCAACAAGAGGATTGATTGAATAAGGGAAATAAAATTGTATTACATAACGTTACTGCAAAGAATCATGTCATTCCTATATATACATATATATTCCTTTAATTTTGATTAAAGGTAACTTGTGTCCGCACCAAGAATCATACCTATGACTTTGGACAAGTTCATCGAAATTCAGCGTTTAAACGCTGAACAGATTTCGATGAAATTGTCCACGCTTAAGCGTGGAAAGGTAACAAACAGATACCTACACAAAGTTACTATTGTATTTATATTAGTATGTTTTTTTAGTTTATAATTTAAGTTTATACTTTTTCATTTTGCAAGTAGCAAATACTAGCTGAAGAGCTATTATGTACATTGACCAATTGACATCTTATATTTGCGCATAGAATGTAAATTCACTACTTTTATATATAATATTGATATTGACTAATAATTTTTGTTTTCATTTATGAAAAATAATAAAACTTACCTTAATAATATTAAAATAATGACTATCCGCCTGTGTCACAGCGGATATTGGAGCACAAGTGCCTTTACAAAAGTACGCATGGTAGCCGGCCGGTCTGATGATCCAGTCATCCCAGCCCAGCTCCTTGAAGCTCACGTAGAGGGGTTCTCTGCAGCATTCACTGGTGGTGGCGCCACACTCCAGGGTCCTGCCTCGACGTCTCTTGCCGGCGTACTTGGTGTAAACCACGAGGAATGGACGATGCTTTTCGTGGAAGGAAAGAGGCGCTCGTCGAAGCTGTTGAAAATGAAATGTATATTTTAAACTAATACTTTCTAACCTTAAACTATTATATGCGAAAGTTTTTGTGTATGTTTGTTACTCATCCTGCATTCTCGTCGAAATAGCGAAACGGATTTAGGATTTAAATAGATATATAGACTATGACCTGAAGCAACAAATAGGTTGCTACTGTTAGACATCTAGCTCGAAAGTGGTACTAATATTATAAATGAGGTATCTCATTCTTTTAACTTAATGGAGCAATAGAAACGTGTTTATATTTTGCATTTTTGTTTTTAAAGTGTTGATATTTGATATAGTAATCAATTTTTGCATTTTTATACTTTTAACTATTATTAGGTATACCATCGTCAATCATGAGTAAATTTTATGAAAAATGGCAAATATGACGAGTATAATAAAAAATCCTTTCGCTATTTATCAAACTAATTGATATATCTATATACTGCGAATATTTCTTCATACCTGACATGTTCTACACGCGACATGCAAAGTATGCAGTCTTTCTCTCCCTTCCAGCCACACGCGCACCGCCCAAGCTAGCTCCACCCTCACCCACCCCTCTCCAATATCCGTCTCCTTGATAGCTATTGGCTTGGTCTTCTTGAACTGTTGCTGGCTGTCCCAGTGGGCCGCTTCTGATATCACGAAGGTTTGATTGTACTCGTCGAGGGGATCTCGTTCCTGTGCAAATTTAATTGTACTATTAAAATTCATCTAATTAATAAAAATATTAATTTAATTCATTTTTCTAGAGGCATAGTGTTCGTATTCTACAGAAGTTCCGGGTTTGATTTTGAAGAACTTGTACATTAAAAGGTACTGGTTGTGTTTTAAGTTTGGTGCTATTTAAGATAATTGTAAAAACTAAGTATCTATGTATATCTGAATACAAGATGTGCATTATAGGTCAAATCATTTCTACATAAAATGTTTTCGGTTTTTCTATTGCAAAAATCTGACGCAATTTCATTGAGAAAAAATAGAAATAACGACAGCTTTAACTTATATATGTATAGAAAACCAAAAAGTATATATAGGAGAAAGCATGGCTCATTAGTGCTAGAGCCTACGAAAATGGTCAGAATATGTTATCCTAGTCTCATGTCATGATTTTTTTTGTTTTTCATTAGCGATATCGACTGTAGAAAGGTGTGTGTGTACGTGGGCTTACCTTATAGAACCATAACTCGACAACAGTGACTTCTTCAGGTTCCACATCTGGAGGCAGCTCGAACTGAAGACACGTGAAAGGATAGCGTCCAGACGTAAGGCATTCTCCTGTAACAAAAAATATATACATATAAGTCTAAGTAAATCTATGAAATATCTTCTAAGTTTTAAATTAAATTAAGTAACGTGCTAAGAATATGAGCACACATTGCTTTTATTAGGAGATAGAGTATAGATGGAGTTTTTATATACAGAAAATAAAGATATTTACTATGATACTTTCAAAGCATAGTTCAGGAGACCTGACGGTAGACAGAAAATGAAATGGGGTCGTTGTAAACTTTATCTACTTTCTTAGAGATTTGACACACTTTACAAAGCTTTCTAAATAAAAGCTTGTGTTTTAAAAGTATTTTTTTACAATTATTTACATACATATAAACATATATGTATAAGCATGCAATTACTGTAGTGCTATACATAAGGATAGGTCCAAAGGAAATTACTAACAGAAACACAAACGCAGCCGTAGTCGCAATATCTAGCTTATATCATAATATAAATAATAGTACAAAATCCACAAATCACGACTAACATTAAAACAATGAGGATAATTATATCATTACGACTGTTTTTGAATTATAAACCTTAATCAATAAACCCCAGACAGACTCCAATTAAACACAATTTCACTAATTTGACCTCACGCCAACTGGAACAAGGAATGACCCTACAGGTCATATCGAGATAAATAAATGCTTCTGCACAGTGAGTTAAGTAAAACGTTTATTCTCAAGTACTTGTAAATACTCGAATTAAATCAACACATCCTTACTGTGGCACACTGGCCACAAATATTAGTTTTAATATTAAACTTAAAAGAAAGTATTATTTTTATTCCTTTAAGGATTGTCAAAATATAGTGAAAATTTTATAATGGAACTTACATTCTGGAGTTTGTGTTTATAATTTAACTCGGGTTCGTCCCTAGTTACGTTTTTAAGTTTAGTATAGTTTTCTTACAGATATTTTCCCGCAGTAAAAAGTATCCTATATGTTGACCCGGATAACCAGCTATCATTATACCAAATTTCATTAAAATCCCTCCAGTGGTTTTCTCGTGATGCGGTTACAGACAGACAAAATTAAAAAACGATTCGGCCTCTGTATCGATATTCGATAATAATGACAATTTCAATAAGATTTTCAAAAAAAATTTTTTAATGTACAGATTCTAATCAGTTAAAATTTTATTATATGTATAGATGATATACAACTAGCGACAATTTCTGATAAATTTTATAAGATACGATAAGATATAAATTTTATAAGTACACCATCTATGTACTAAAATTCATCTAACTTTTTCTATCAGATCCCATCAATAAATATTATATTTGTGAAAGTTTGGATAAATGGATGTTTGTTACTCAATCAAGCCAGAACGGCTGTACTGATCTGGATGAAATTTGGCACAGATATAAATTGTAGGAAGGAAATATGTACGGTTTCCGTGTTTTTAATTGGACTCACCTAAACATAAATCACTTATTTAAAAGAACTCTAGTTCATTTTCTAAGAAAGTAGTATGTGGACTCCAGTTCAACCGGCTGGTATAATTAAATCATATTGCACATATATTTATGAAAACTGACCGTCATAATGCAAATAAAAGCGCGATCTTAGATAAATAATAACATTTAATTATGTATTTGCCACTTCCTTATTATTCTAGATCGTAAAAAATATATGCGTGTTTGTATCGTAGCGTACACGGTATCGGTACGAGTATCAGCGAGCACGGCGCGGCGGCGTGATAACTGTAATGACAGGTTAAATTAAATCTCAACTGTCAATAACTGAACTTGTGGATTGATAACGCTACGCAAATCACATGCGTCTGCGCATCCGCTTTTTCCTTTGATATTCTTATTTTTCTATAGTAATTGTAAGCATTTAGCGTCCATTGGTAACGAGCTCGCTTGGAAACTGATGTGAACGGTGAAGCGGGTTCAAATCCCGAGTCTCACACTTCTTATTACAACTTGATAAGATAATAAATGATTTTTATTAATCTTGCGGAACCTGTATGTCTGTAAATTTAACTACTTCTCGCAATACTTGTAAAGTCGGCCAACACGCATTTGGTCAGCGTGGTGCAGGGATCTCCCCTCATCAAGGGTTGTACAATAAAGTATGAAGTATTATAATATTAGACAGTGTCTTAATATTAATCATAAAAAAACATAAAATATGTGATTAACTTCAAATATTAAGCAAGTGATATTTTAGAATGTTATTTTCAAAAATATGTAGTGGCCCGAGGGTCGCTGTTTCGATTTTTGTACCGAGCTTTTTTAATTAGTAGGTATTGTTTATAGTTTTCAACGACAGTATTAAGATTTTTCACATTTAGTATAAAGATATTTATTACTGCCTGTGATTAAAACAAATTGCGGCGATGATTACCGTAATAAAGGAATAACTGTGCTAGAGCAAAGTAAAGATCTTTCTAGATAATGAAGATCTGTATCTATTCCACAAGTGCAAGTGATATGAAGGAGGAAAACACTTACATATATGTACATTTATAATTGGGTATATTTTAATAAATATTTGTTAAATATTTATAAAAGCTTATACAAAAGCTGTTTAAATATTAAATAAAAACTATTAAATTGAAATGAGTTAGACCAAAAAATAAAACAATTGTATTTTAAATTAATTAATGATTAAATCAAGTATTTGACATTTTACTTTTTTGGTCCTTCCTGGGACTCAAATTTATTAATCTTTATCTGTAGCCACAGCTGTATATATGTATGTATTCAGCTCTTTTTAACGTCCCAGTGCTGGTCACGGACCTCCTTTCAATACGAGGGGGATCAGGCCACAATCCACCACGCTGGCCAAGTGCGGGTTGGTGGACTTCACATGTCTTTCAAAAACTTGCTAGGTTCTCTCAGACATGCAGGTTTCCTCGCGATGTTTTCCTTCACCGTAAGGCAAGTGGTTGTCATGCTAGAAATGACTCGCGCATGAACATATCAGAGGTGGGAGACCCGGGATTTGAACCCGCTTCACTCGGTTTCCCAAGTGAGCGCGTTAACACTGGAAACACAGCTGTATGATCATCTACTAATAGAAGATCAGATAAATATTGTGTATTTATTTTATCACACAGAAGAATATAATACTTTAAAGTTATGAGAATAATTTTGGGGCATCACACCATTAGATAGGGCCTATCATCTCGACCTTTTTCAATAATGAATAATTAGTTGCGACCGTCTTTATCTGTACGCAGGCACCAGACGCGCACGTGATGCCTCACTTGGATAAGCCGAAATTTTTATTTTTATTTCATAAAGATTGTAAGAAAAAAAAAATAATTTACAACAAAGTGATCGATCGAGTTTGTTTAAATTTTGTGGGTGGTCTACAAAGTGTAAGTTATAATAATAATGTACTACATTTTATTCCGCTTCCACTCGTGTGCTAGATAAGTAGATTAATTTCCTACATAGGATATCCCCATACCGAATTTCACTCTAATTCGTAGAATGTAAATAAGTGACGAACAAACTAACTTTCAAATTAAAATGTTAGTATTATGTGCTGTATCGATGTGTTAACAAAACGTGGCATACTCAGCGTTGTCACAAAATGAGGGGAATGCCGAGTTATATGTCATCGGGTTATCTCTGTCTACCCCACAAGGCAAAGTGCGAGAAAAAGGCGATTTCAAGTGGTCTGAAAATCTTTATAATACCGTCCCATTGATGTTAATTGTTTATTAATGTTTGTGTTTAGTCCTCTGTGTCAATTTTTATTTAAATATATTAAGTGTAATGGAATTAGACTATAGACTAACATTTTTGTAAAATAATTAGAACTTACTAACTACTTATTTTTAACCCCGACGCAAAAAGAGGGGTGTTATAAGTTTGACGTCGATGTCTGTCTATGTGTGTGTGTGTGTCTGTCTCTGGCATCGTAGCTCTCAAACAGATGGACCGATTTCGATGCGGTTTTTTTTTCATTTGAAAGCCAGTTTCCTTGCGGTGGTTCTTAGCTATGTTTGGTTAATATCGGTCCAGCAGTGTAAGAGTATCAGCTCTTTTCAAAAAGGATGTAAGGCATTTTGGCGTATGATTACTCGATTATTTTATTTATTTATAATTATTAATTAAAGTTTTTATGTATATAGTACATAATTGTACTTTCTTTTTTGTAGATCCAATGTCCATAAAGGAGTTGCTCCCATTTTTACATTTTCTATTTAATATACACAGTTTAATTACCTCATTTAATATCGACCAATCTCCTTCCTGTCTTCTCCATTCTACGTGATATTGGCGAAATAATCTGTGCTCAACTGGCACGATTTAAAGCCATTCACAGGAGAATCGAATTAAAATCTTTATAATCCATATTAATAATAATATAATTATTAATGTTTGTAAACTTTTTTACAATAAAGATTCATGCATGATTCAAAAGGATCAATAATTTTAGTATTTCATTATATTATACATATATATATTCATCTGTATTTAGAATTACATCAAAATTACTTTTAATATTAATGTAATTTCTAACGCTCCTGTTCGTGGATTTATGAAGATATCGCGTAACATACTTGCGCAAAAAAAACATCCTTGTAGGTATAAATATACCTACTTATAATCAAATTTAAATCACGGTCAAATCACGCATCACACAAAAATGAATTCATTTTTTTTACATTTTTATGGAGATAAAAAATGTTCACAGGGTCAAGTACCTATACATACAATAAGCGTATAAAACTTGCGCGCAACACGATTAACTCACTTTCCTTGATTAGTAATAACAGTTAGGGCGATAAACCCGCCTAAGTTTCGCTTTCCGGAAATGAAGGGATTTTCCGGAAAACGAAGCGTGAGCAAGCCCCTCACAAGGTGGACCAACGACTTGATCTAAGTCGCTGAAACCCACTAGATTCAGATGGCACAAAACCGGTAAAGTTCTCATCTTTGGTGGAGGCCTATGTCAAGAAGTGGAGGTATTTCTCGGCCAATCTCCCTAGCTAAAGTTGTACTTTGTATTAAGCAGTGCGTATGCAC